AATTCTTCCCGGTTTGTGAGCAGCAGGTCAAGAAAAGCTCCCCCCCCTAGTTGGCTCCTCTAGCACTTGCACCAGGAAATTGTCCCCTATGCTTTCCAAAAACTTCCTGGATTGTCTATGCATCGCTGTATTGCTCTCCCAGCAGATATCAGGAAAATTAAAGTCACCCATGAGAACCAGGGCGTGCGATCTAGTAGCTTCTGCGAGTTGCCGGAAGAAAGCCTCATCCACCTCATCCCCCTGGTCCGGTGGTCTATAGCAGACTCCCACCACTACATCACTCTTGTTGCTCACACTTCTAAACTTAATCCAGAGACACTCAGGTTTTTCTGCAGTTTCGTACCGGAGCTCTGAGCAGTCATACTGCTCCCTTACATACAGTGCTACTCCCCCACCTTTTCTGCCCTGTCTGTCCTTCCTGAACAGTTTATAACCATCTAGATCCCGCAGGGGTCTGTCCTGGGTCTGGTACTATTCAATATTTTCATTAATGATGTGGATAATGCAGAGGAGAGTATGCATATAAAATTTGTGGATGGAGTTGCAAGCACTTTGGTGGACAGGATTAGAATTCAAAATGACAGATTGGAGAAATGGTCTGAAATCAACAAAAATTCATTAAATCAAGGGCAAAGTACTACACTCAGGAAGAAAAAATCAAATGCACAAAAAAATGGATCATAATGGCTAGGCAGTAGTACTGCTGAAAAAGATCTGGGGTCATAGCAGATCACAAATTAAAAATGAGTCGTCAATATGATGCAGCTGCAAAAAAGGCTAATATCATTCTGGGACATATTAACAGGAGTGTCATATGTAAGCCAGGAGGTAATTGTTCTGCTCCACTTGTCACTGGTGAGATCTTAGCTGGATTCCTGTCTCCATTTTTGGGCACCACACTTGAAGAACGGTATGGACAAACTGGAGAGCATCCAGAGGAGAGAAACAAAAATGATAAAAGATTTAGAAAACTTGATCTATAGGCTAAGGTTAAAAAAACTAGTCATGTTTAATTTTGAAAACAGAAGACTGAGGGAGGACCTGTTAAGCGCTGTTATAAAGAGGACTGTGATTGTTCTGCAATATCCACTGAAGGTAGGAGAAGTAAAGAGTGTAACCTGCACCAAAGGAGATTTTGGTTAGATGTTAGGGAAAACTCTCTAAATATAAGAATGATTAAGCACTAAAATAGGCTTCCAAGAGAGTTTGTGGACACCCTGTCATTGGGTGTTTTCAAGAACAGATTAGATAAACACCCACCAGGGATGGTCTCGATATACTTAGTCCTGCCTCCATGCAGGGGGCTGGGCTAGATGATCTCTTGAGGGCCCTTCCAGCCCTATGTTTCTATGTTTCTCCAAGGGTCTAAGCAAGGAAACTCCCAGAGGAAAATATTCTTTAAGTCTTTAGACCCTTGTATGTTTAGGTGGAAGAGGATATCACCAGAGCACCACTGCGGTCTGCCTTTTCTTGGCTAACACAATAGCCATGCTGCTCTAAATTATGGAGGAGACAAAAATAACCCAAGAATATGGGGTGGTGAAAAAGTGGAATAAAACCACCTTTGCCCTTCACTTCTTTTCCTGCACCAAGTAGGATGTTAAATAGAGCCCTTGGCTTTGTCTCTGTCTGGAGTTATTACCAAGGTGTTGCAGCCTATGTCAGGATTGGATGGCTTGAATCTAGTTTTCCACATACTTGCTTTTATAGGAATGATTTGGGTGTTTGTTTCTTGAATGGCCTTTTTCTTAAGAAAGCTTGGATTAGCAGGTTGTATAGGAACGAGTAGAAGGACTGCTACTAAAACCATTGGTATTTTGGTAAAATACCTCAAGACTGTCATTAGGACAAAAGAGAAGGCTTTTTGCTGGAAGAGTCCCTTGTAATAGTAGAAGCATACCTACTGCTAGTGATGCTCCGGTATGGGTATGTTGAGAGAGACTTGCTATTATGGGTTTTAGAGATTCCATCTGAAATCTTGCCTTCGTGTGTATTTTCTGAATGATGTTAGTCCTGTCCGATTTTCTCATCCCTTTTTTGATTTTGGACAGCAACTGTCTCTGTGGTGTTATCAGAAACCCCATCGGAACTGTCTGAAGCACCCCATCGATACCAGAAATTCCTCTCCCTCTCCTCTAGTGTGACCCTTTCCCTAAAGGTTGTCCTCTCAGAGTCATGCAGTGGTTTGATTGTTCTTTGATTGGTCTGGAATACTACTCTCTGTCCCTTCTTCTGCAGAATCTATTTCATCAGGCCATCCCAAGGGGGTAATCATGGTTTTGGGTTGGAGGTGAGTGATGGCCACCAAAAAGTTTTCTGTTCGAAGAAGGCTTTTTCCACGTCCCTTTGTGTTCAGTGTAACAGTAGTATGTAGCAAGGACAAATTACTGTTATACTCATTCTCTCCTGGATTGTGATTCCTCGTAACTCTCAAGAAACAGTGGCAAAGGGGGAAATTGAGAAACTTTTACTATGTGTAATACTAAATACTGTGGACTGAGTAAGAAAAATAAAAGTACCAAGAAAAGAAGGAAAGCTCTGTTGCATACAGGAAAAATAATTAAAATAGCTCTCACTGTGGATGCTTTTGGTTCCTTGTTGCCCAGTGAACTATGTGCAATTGTATGAAGCTCTAAGCACATAAACTCCGCCCTATACTGGAAACCTACTGACCGATAGACTTACCTACATGTCTACAACCTCATTTGCTCCAATCCCTCAGACAGAGACAAACACCTACAAAGTCTCTATCAAGCATTCTTAAAATTACAATACCCACCTGCTGAAGTGAAAAAACAGATTGACAGAGCCAGAAGAGTACCCAGAAGTCACCTACTACAGGACAGGCCCAACAAAGAAAATAACAGAATGCCACTAGCCATCACCTTCAGCCCCCAACTGAAACCTCTCCAACACATCATCAAAGATCTACAACCTATCCTGAAAAAGATCCCTCACTCTCACAGATCTTGGGAGACAGACCAGTTCTTGCTTACAGACAGCCCCCCAACCTGAAGCAAATACTCTCCAGCAACCACACACCACACAACAAAAACACTAACCCAGGAACCTATCCTTGCAACAAAGCCCAATGCCAACTCTGTCCACACATTTATTCAAGTGACACCATCATAGGACCTAATCACATTAGCCACGCCATCAGGGGTTCATTCACCTGCACATCTACCAATGTGATATATGCCATCACGTGCCAGCAATGCCCCTCTGCCATGTACATTGCCAAACTGGACAGTCTCTACGCAAAAGAATAAATGGACACAAATCTGACATCCGGAATCATAACGTTCAAAAACTGGTAGAAGAGCAATTCAACCTCTGTGGCACTCAGTAAAAGATTTAAGGGTGACAATTTTGCAACAGAAAAGCTTCAAAAACAGACTCCAACGAGAAACTGCTGAGTTTGAATTAATATGCAAACTAGATACCATTAACTTGGGTTTGAAGAGAGACTGGGAGTGGCTGGGTCATTACACATATTGAATCTATTTCCCCATGTTAAGTATCCTCACACCTTCTTGTCTACTGTCTAAATGGGTCATCTTGATTATCACTACGAAAGTTTTTTTTCTCCTGCTGATAATAGCTCATCTTAATTAATTAGCCTCTTACTCCACCTTTTCGTATTCTCTGTATGTGTGTGTATATATATATATATATATAATCTTCTTACTATATGTTCCATTCCGTGTATCCGATGAAGTGGTCTGTAGCCCATGAAAGCTTATGCTCAAATAAATTTTAGTCTCTAAGGTGCCACAAGTACTCCTGTTCTTTTTGCTGATACAGACTAACATGGCTGCTACTCCGAAAATTGTATGAATGGACTCTTTCTCCCACTAAGTCTGCATAGGTGCTTTTGGAGATCTGACAATCCACTGCTCCTTCCCTGAGCGGTATCAGGGGGGAGCTGTGCATCTTGAGACTCCATTCGTACTTTCCCACAAAGCTATTGTGGCAGTTGAAGTTCTCTCAAACTAACGTATTTCCTCATCCCAGCATATTGGAGCACAACTATCTCTGACTTTGTTGGGATACTCTTTCTGTTTGATGCCAGACTCTGAACTGAGATTTTTGTTAGTTACAGTAGTTAGAAAGAAAAATGTGTTAGAATAGTCAATTCTGTTTTTCTTGAGGACTTTGTGAGGTCACCTGTCAAGCTTTCCCAGATAGAACTGTGAACATCACACACTATATCCTGAGTTTAATTGTATTCCCAGAGTATGTGAGTGAAACCAAGAGTAGTGCAACTCATGTGACAAATCCTATATGGAGCTGCAATTGGCAAGTGCACAACAACATGAACTGTCGAGTATATTTTGGTGGTTGTTACATAAGTGAATATCAAAATGTAAGGTGTCATGGTGCATAGACTGCAAGAGAGTGAGTTCTCCTCTGGTGAGTACTTTTCCTGTCAGGCGCTGATCTTTCAGGGAGATTGCCATTTGCATGATCAAATGTTTTTTTCACTCCCTCCTGGTGAAAGGTGATAATTATTGTGACTGTGATTAAGACTGCGCTTCTATTAATAAGTGTCCTTTTCTTCAAGGGGTTGTAACTTGGCCATAAAAATTTACTCCAGAGTGAATGATGACATGTAATTGAATGTCTTTGATCTCTTTCCTATTTTTAATCAGTTTTCAGAAAAGATCTCTTTGGTCGTTTCTGATACAAGTGTTAAAATAAAGAAAAATTAGAAGTAAATATATCTTTTTGTCTGAATTAAACTCTATCCCATTCAGTGGCTTTCTGAGTCAAATTGCCTTCTTATATATAGTTTTTAATCACTTCAGCAGCCCATGCTTGGCAGCATTCTTATCAGTGACACATTTCAGTTTCACAGGGCACATTTTTATGACATTTCATACAAAAACTTGACATCTTTATTACAGGTTTTCTTTATCAGGCGCTAACATTTCGAGTTGAGCTTAATAACAAGTAACTCAGTTCTCATTGCTTTGTGTTTTGTGTCTTTCTTACAGATCTGCTGGAGAAGACTCACAGGAGAGAGGAAGAAATGAGAGCTCTACAGGTATATCTACTAATTAGACTGAAGAAGCTTTATTTTTTGGTAACCTTCCTCCTTAATGTCTTTCTCCTAAATCCACATAGAGGAAACCCACAGCCACACAGTGACTGCTCACCAGTAAGACCACACTGCTGCGTTGCTTCCGGCCAGCCAATAGCTAGACTGATAATAAAGCAGACTTAACTGGCTAGCAGTCTTCCATCCGGTGGTTGTACTTCCAGCTGTCTATTCTATTCATGTTACTATAGCCACCAGTGAGATTCAACCCAATTACTCTTGTGTTCTGTAGGTGGCAAATGCAGTTCATCAGCAAAACAAGTGCTTTCCCTTTGGAGTGAGCCAAGCTGTACTGAATTTGTCTCAGTTGGCAGTTGCTCTGTTTATATTATATGTTTGGCCCCTCTCCATGTGGGCACATATATAAGGACAATGCAAGTGCCGGGGGAAATTTATGAAAGCACTTCTCAATTTTCTTTGCCAGGAAAGCAAATTCCATTATTTAGAAAAGTTCCTTGAAAGACCAGATGTTTCAGAAGAAAATTATAGAGCTATGCACACATATGTGATGTAATATGTATATATGTGTGTATGTATTTTTGTGTTTTTACTCTAGTTCATTAGGTTGATTCATCTTCTTGGAATATATTTGTTTTTCCCATAACACTGAGTAAAATCTCAAATTTAGGTACAATTCTCATCCCAGCTAGCTTTGGAAATCTCCATGCAGCTACTGCATGTGTGTGTGTTCTGGCAGCAATTTCCAATGAAATGTCCATTCAAATAAATGAAGCATTGGAGTGTGCCAGGTATGGTTGAATTTCCTATGGCAAACCCTTGCTAGATGTACAGAATTTAGTATGTCATCCAGCAGTGAAGTGGTTAACTTTATTAGCACTTAGTGGTTTACATTAGTCTTCAAAGCTCACATTTTTTAACCTTAGACCCAGCACTGGAATACTATTGAAGCATACTGTAACAGTCACAGAAGGCATGCATTCCTTTGAACTCAAAAGGAATAGGAAGGCAAGAAATAAACTAGTATGGCTAAATGGTGAGGTTTGAGAGGTTTATTCAAGCAAAGCTGGTGTCTTTCAGAAAATAAAAATCAAACCCATATGAAAACATTTGAGAGGAGCAAAAAGTACAGCAGGCAACATGTAGTATGGAAGTTAAAGGGCTAAAATAAAACGTGAAAAGCAAATAGTCATAAATATAAAAAACAAATAAGACATAATTAACTATGTCAGAAACAGGAATATTGTGAAAGAAGCTCTAGGTCTGTTGCATTAAAAGGTAGTAAAAGGAGCAATGAAGAAGAATAAGGCTATTGTGGAGAAGCTAAAGACTTCTCTGCATAAATTTTTCCCACGGGGTAGTTAAGATATCTACTCTTTTTGGATTGCAAAGATGAGGTACAGTCAGAGGTTGAGAAGTCAAAAGTAGTAGTACAGAACCAAATTGTTAAATTAAGCAACAAGGTACCAGGCCCATATAGTACACCCAAGAGTTCTGAAGGATTTATGAATTAAGTGTCTGAACTCCAAAATTATCTTTTGACTCTTGAGCTTTACTAAGTTCTATACTTTTGTTGTTAACTTTATTCAATGGCTCACAGTAAACAGGATAGTACCAGTGCTGGTCCTTTTCAGATTTTGTGACAGGTACACTAGCCTCTCCACGTTTTACCTTGATGCCAAGCTACTGTGCTGTGCCTTCATGATTCTCCTGCCCACTTATTTTTCATTTTCATTTTCTTGGACTGCAATAGATACTCCAAACCGTAGTGTCTTTTGAACAAGTCAAGTTCCATTGTGCGTAGGAGAATGCACAGTTAAAAGGGAGGTTTTGGACAATAAAGCCAAGATCTTTAGAAGGTGGTATTTTTATTGATAAACTGGAACAGTTGCCTGAAGAGATTGGGAAACACTAAAAATGTAAAATAATAATAAATTGTAACAACACATGTCAGGGTGTCTTTAAAACACAACCGTACAATTATTAAACTCTTCATTGCAGCTTGGCATTCTTGTTCATTTTTTGTGTCATTAGTTTTATCCCCGGTCTTTTGTTTCTTGCATCTACAATAGTTGTCTATTCTCTTTAGTAGTGTTATTGTTTTTAAATTTAAATGTTTTGTAAAGTATCATAGTTCCATTTGCTTAAGGGTTTATGAACTAATCAAACAGCTAAATCCCTTCTCCAACCCACTTCAGATCAACTGGGGCATTGAAAAAATGACTTGAGGGGAGCATTTCCTATTTCAGCATAGCAGCATGAGTGAAAATGGACCCTTGGAGTTGCTTTTCCTTTTCAGACAGATCAAGGCAATGAAAACTTCCTACAGAATCTTGCAGTCTGAGTGCATGTCTGATCTTGATTTACAATATTTATCTTTGCAAAGTCAGTGCCTGGGAAGCACTGCTGAGGGGTCATAGTGCTGCCTAATTGTTAAAGAAGCCAAGCCATTGGTGGTACTCAGTAGTTGTTTACTAAATGTCTGGAAAAATCTATTCATGTTTAAAAAAGGTTTGTTAATCCTTTGTGCTGGTGGAGATCTTTGTTCTAACTTTATTTGATATAGCAACATGACTTTTTAAAATGCATATTTTTCCCATAAACATACAACAAAATAGAAATGTACAAAAAGAGCAGATTAGACAAAGCACTTTGTGTTGTGAAAACAATTTTCCTCCTCTTCCTTTTCCTCCTGGGCTAGAATCCAACCTCTAATGTCAGGCTCGGCCCATACTACCAGGATTTTTTTATCCACTCTGAACAATTTATTCATGTAGAGACCATAGAGAATTAACCATTAATTACATATAGGAAGGCCACCATGGATTTCTCAGAATTCAGGTTCTAGTTTCCAGCCCTCAGTCTAGCTTTGTAGCTTCATTTGCAGGAATTGGCATGTTACATTAAATTATTACTGAGCCAGGCAAGATAACAAGGTGTCCTGTGCTTTAAAAAAAAAAAAGAAAGAAAGAAACATGCATTCCTAGTAGCTGACTGATAATGAAGTTATAAAGCCTCGGTTTTTTCACCTTGCAATAAAAATGAAGACCATAAGCTCTAGGGATGGGGCAAATATTGAGATAAACTAGCTGACTGAGATCATGAGACTATTATTTTATCCCCACTAGTATAGAGAGTGGAAGTATTGCAGATGCAATGGTCTTAATTTTTTGAGAGACCGACACAAGCCCAGGCTGTTCTCATCATTCCTTCATAACCATCCAAGATACAACAACATTATGGGAGCCTTTGGAGAACTGACAGGAGGATATGTGTCATGTAGGCAGTGTTCGGAAAGGGCTGAAACTTAGAGGGAAAAAAGCTGGGTGAAAAATTCATGATCTCATTTTAATAGTTTACAGAGAAGCTCACTAGACTTGGGCTCTGGATTGTGAAGGAGAGCAAATTCCAGAAACAGGGTCAATTCTATCTGGCCTTGGAAAGTTTTACTTTAGGATCTGGTTTCAGAGTAGCAGCCGTGTTAGTCTGCATTCGCAAAAAGAAAAGGAGTACTTGTGGCACCTTAGAGACTAACAAATTTCTTTGAGCATAAGCTTTCGTGAGCTACAGCTCACTTCATGGGATGCATTCAGTGGAAAATACAGTGGGGAGATTTATATACATAGAGAACATGAAACAATGGGTGTTACCATACACACTGTAAGGAGACTTATCACTTAAGGTGAGCTATTACCAGCAGGAGAGCGGGGGGGGGGGGGGGGGGACCTTTTGTAGTGATAATCAAGGTGGGCCATTTCCAGCAGTTGACAAGAACGTCTGAGGAACAGTGGGTGGTGCGGGGGGAATAAACATGGGGAAATAGTTTTACTTTGTGTAATGACCCATCCACTCCCAGTCTCTATTCAAGCCTAAGTTAATTGTATCCAGTTTGCAAATTAATTCCAATTCAGCAGTCTCTCGTTGGAGTCTGTTTCTGAAGTTTTTTTGTTGAAGAATTGCAACTTTTAGGTCTGTAATCGAGTGATCAAAGAGATTGAAGTGTTCTCCAACTGTTTTTTGAATGTTATAATTCCTGACGTCTGATTTGTGTCCGTTTATTCTTTTACGTAGCGACTGTCTGGTTTGACCAATGTACATGGCAGAGGGGCATTGCTGGCACATGATGGCATATATCACATTGGTAGATGTGCAGGTGAACGAGCCTCTGATGGTGTGGCTGATGTGATTAGGCCTACGATGGTGTCCTCTAAATAGATATGTGGACACAGTTGGCAACGGGCTTTGTTGCCAACTAGACCATTTGCTCAAGAAACTCCCTGAAAAAGCACAAGAACAAATCTGCACAGACACACCCCTGGAACCCCGACCAGGGGTATTCTATCTGCTACCCAAGATCCATAAACCTGGAAATCCTGGATGCCCGATCATCTCAGTCATTGGCACCCTGAAAACAGGATTGTCTGGCTGTGTAGACTCCCTCCTCAGGCCCTACGCTACCAGCACTCCCAGCTATCTTCGAGACACCACTGACTGCCTGAGGAAACTACAATCCATCGGTGATCTTCCTGAAAACACCATCCTAGCCACTATGGATGTAGAAGCCCTCTGCACCAACATTCCACACAAAGATGGACTACAAGCCGTCAGGAACAGTATCCCCGATAATGTCACGGCAAACCTGGTGGCTGAACTTTGTGACTTTGTCCTCACCCATAACTATTTCACATTTAAGGACAATGTATACCTTCAAATCAGCGGCACTGCTATGGGTACCCGCATGGCCCCACAGTATGCCAACATTTTTATGGCTGCCTTAGAACAATGCTTCATCAGCTCTCGTCCCCTAAGGCCCCTACTCTACTTCTGCTACATTGATGACATCTTCATCATTTGGACCCATGGAAAAGAAGCCCTTGAGGAATTCCACCATGATTTCAACAATTTCCATCCCACCATCAATCTCAGCCTGGACCAGTCCACACAAGAGATACACTTCCTGGACACTATGGTGCTAATAAGCGATGGTC